ATAAAAATAAAACGCGGTGAATCGAATAACAAAAATGACGCTATGACAGCTGTAGTATGTAATACCGAAGTGTCAAAATCGAATGAATGGTTCCTCGACAGTGGAGCGACGCGTCACATGTGTAATGACCATCGAAAATTCTCTGTGTTGAAAGACACAGAACGATCGAAAGTATTTACAGCTGCGGAGCATTATCTAGATTCATCAAGCACAGGCGAAATCAATTTAAAAGTAAAAAATCGCGGCTCAAGAAATAACATAAAACTAGAAAATACAATGTTTGTTCCAGCCTTACGAAATAATCTAATGTCAATATCTACGATCACAGACAAAGGATATAAGGTGATATTCGACAAGGAACGCGCAATAGTAAAACGCAAGGATGGATCCACAGCACTGACAGCGGAAAAGAAGAATCAGCTCTACGTAATAAATGAACCGAACGATCTCGTGATGGCTGCAAGCGAAATCAACGACGATAAAATGGCTCGTTGGCACCAAAGGTATGGACATTTAAATATCGCGGATTTAAAAAGTTTAAAAACTAAAGAAATAGTCAAAGGCGTCGAATTTACAATAAGAACGAACGAATTTCAATGCGAAATATGCGATAAAAACAAAATACATACTCTACCGTTTAAGCCGTCGAAAAGCAGAGAAACTGAAGTATTGAATTTAATACATTCTGACATATGTGGCCCAATGAATATTGAATCCATAGGAGGATCAAGATATTTCGTTACGTTTATAGATGACTGCTCAAGATACACCGAAATTACCATGCTTCGACAACGGTCTGACGTTTTGAAAGCTTTTAGAAATTATAAAAGAAGAGTGGAAAAACTCACTGGACGATACATCAAGAAGTTACGCACGGACAACGGAAAAGAATATTTATCCAATGACTTCAAGAAGTTATTCGAAGATGAAGGCATCTCTAGGCAACTATCGGTTGAATATACACCGCAACAGAACGGTGTTGCAGAACGTGCAAACAGGACAATCGTCGAGATGGCAAGATGTATGTTGCAACAATCGGGGTTACCGCAATCTCTATGGGCGGAGGCGGTTAACACTGCAGCATATATAAGAAACAGATGCCCCACAAAATGCCTAAACAATAAAACTCCACTTGAAGCCTGGACTAACAAGAAACCTTACGTAGGTTTCTTTCGCATTTTTGGAAGCAAGGTCATCGCGTTAAATAAAGGTCCTAAACCCGGAAAATTCCTCCAAAAGGGACAGGAATATGCATTGGTTGGATATTCGGACGAAGCTAAAGCGTATAGACTATGGAAGCCAGGAACGAGAACCGTAATAAAGTCACGCGATGTTAGATTTCATGAAAAAATTCACTCAACTATTAACGACTGGAATAGTCCGACCAAAGTCCCGAATGAATCAAATAACGATGTTAACGAAAGAGAAACACTTAAATATGAAATGATACCGTCGTTAACAAAGATTGAAGAATTGGAAACAAATAAGCAGATGGAAGATGGACATAACGAGCAACTTGAGGATAATGATTCAGAAAACGAAGACGACGAAGTCCCAGAAGAAAATGAAGAAAATAAAAACAACGAATTAAGGCGAGGTCGTGGACGACCCAAATTATTGAAGACCGGTCAGCGAGGAAGACCTAAAAAAATTTATCAACATCATACTTATTCAAACAACGATCCTGTGAATGCAATTGAAGCTACGAATGGAAGTAATCGATCAGCATGACTAGAAGCAATGAAGACTGAATTCAAAATTCTGCAAGAAAATAATACCTGGAGTTTGGTACCGAGACCTGAAGGAAAGAAAATACTCACATGTCGATGGGTTTTCAAAATGAAACGAAGTCAAGACGGAGAAATTGAAAAATATAAGGCGAGATTAGTTGCTCGCGGCCATACCCAACAAAAAGGAATAGATTACGAAGAAGTCTTCGCACCCGTCGCACGATATGAATCCATTAGAGCATTGTTGGCCGCATCCGTAAACGAGGAAATGTACATAGATCAAATGGATGTAGTTTCCGCTTACGTGCAAGGAGACCTCAACGACGAGATTTTCATGGAACAGCCTGAAATGTTCATTGAAGAAAGACCAGCCGATTTAGTATGCAAATTAAATAAACCTCTTTACGGTCTAAAACAATCAGGACGAGAATGGTACCAAAAACTCGACAATTTTCTACTAAGTATCGGAGGCAGAAGAACTGAAGCAGATCCATGTATCTACACATTTATAGGAAACGAATCTCGAGTAATTCTCATAATATATGTCGACGATTTAATTATAGCTTCCAGAAGATACGACGAACTTGCGAAGATTAAGAAGATTTTACAAAGTAACTTCAAGATGGTTGACCTCGGACCAATTAATCACATTCTTGGCATAGACATCAAAAGAGAAGGTTTAACTGGAAAACTTCACTTATCTCAAACGAAATATATAAAGGACTTAATAAATAAATTCAATTTAAATGACGCAAAAGGAGTATCGACACCACTGGAGACAGGCATAAAAATCTCAAAAGACTTGAGCCCACAAAATAATGAAGAACGTCTAGAAATGCAAAAGAAGCCTTATAGGGAACTTATCGGTGGGCTGATATACTTAGCGAATGCAACTCGGCCCGATATAGCGTTTGCCGCCAATGTATTAAGTCGTTTTTGCTCAGACCCAGGAGTACAACATTGGCTATTTGCAAAAAGAATATTAAGATATTTGAAAAACACTTCACATTACGGAATTACTTATGTCAAAAATAAAAACAAACTTCAAGCATACACTGACTCTGACTGGGCTGGTGACATCGACGACAGAAAATCATGCACTGGAAATGTAATAATGCTAGCAGGAGGTCCCATAAGCTGGCGATCTAAAAAACAAACTTCTGTGGCTCTATCAACCATGGAAGCCGAATATGCAGCATTGGCCGAAGTTTCCAAGGAAGTTGTCTATTTAAAGAGACTGTTAAATTACATTGGTTTTGAAAAATACGTAGAATCCCCAATACAAATATTTTGTGATAACCAAAGTACAATAGAATTATCAAAGAACGCGGTTTTACATAAGAAAAGTAAACATATAGACATAAAGTTTCATTTTACGAGAGAATTAGTAGCAAAAAAGGAAATTGAAATAACGTACTTAAATACAGATCAAATGTTAGCAGACATCTTAACAAAATCCTTGCCAAAGATTAAACACCAAAGATGTGTAGTTATGTTAAATATAACCTAATACAGGTTTTAGAACATTTCCTTTACTATTTAAGTTGTACGCACTCATAGATAGGCGGAGTGTTAGAGATAGTTCTAAGAGTGCTTCATATAATTAAATATTCGCGCGCGATTAGATATCGCGCGTGTGACTCTTCCACGTTTCGCTTGTGTCGCTATGAGCCTTCCTTCCTTCCCCCTCTTTTTCCCTTCTCTCTCTGTCTGTTCGCTCTTTATACGCACGCAGCACGAGCTCTCTATTATATTAAGTCTGATACCTGTGTATACCAAAGTGTTCTTATTAAATATTCATATATGTATGTTTAACTGAGTCTTCTAAACACCATACACGCCTAATCCCAGCCAAACAATTATTTTATTATTAATGAGATTAAAAACTTGCTTATACAATCTCCACAGTAAGATATATATCATAACTCCATTAATTTTATAGATTATAATATAATTGTTGCACAGTTATTATATAATTGTTGCATAAACATTTGTTACAGAAATCTTGATTGGAATCTAAGCGAACGATATTGGATTATAAAAATGCTTCATTATATTAGGCATCTTTTGGTGAAGAAGAAGTACAGTAAATTTATAGAAAAATCTAACAATAAACAACTTTTAGAACAAATTGCTACTTTTTTGGCACAATGGTTACAACCTGAAAAGCATGTATCTTACTGTAAGATATTTTATAATATTTGTCTGGATGTGATGCCCAGAGGCGCAACGTGGAAGACGGTGAAAAGGTGAAAACAGGATTGTTCCAATGTTCGATTAATCATGCAATAATAATAGGTTTATTATAGAATGTGTAAATTATTAGATATAAATCACAGTTTATCCGCGACGCGTGTATATATATATATATATATATATATATATATATATATTTGTGTATGTATATAGTATTCCTTTGTCGTGCGATCTTATCTAATGATGCTTTTATGTATGAGTAATGTAAGAAAAATAGGAAACAACGCCGAAAAGGATAAGACGTCGCGTACACAACGTGTCTCACCCTAAGGAGAAGGGAAGGGGAACAAGATTAAGCATGGGCGAGCACGAAATTCGGCAGTGAATAACAAGCGATACTGAGCGATTATCGAGTATCAATATATTATCGGAGCGCTCGAGACTTAGAATTATTTCGGAACTCAGAATTGTTCACTCTGATACAGCAAGGCATATATATATATATGTATGCGTGATAGGACGTCTTGTCCTTTTCCGAAGGTATATATATATATATATGCCTTGCTGTATCAGAGTGAACAATTCTGAGTTCCGATATAATTCTAAGTCTCGAGCGCTCCGATAATATATTGATACTCGATAATCGCTCAGTATCGCTTGTTATTCACTGCCGAATTTCATGCTCGCCCATGCTTAATCTTGTTCCCCTTCCCTTCTCCTTAGGGTGAGACACGTTGTGTACGCGACGTCTTATCCTTTTCGGCGTTGTTTCCTATTTTTCTTACATTACTCATACATAAAAGCATCATTAGAGAAGATCGCATGACAAAAGAATACTAGGCGGGTTCTGGACCAGGTCCTCTGAGGGGGGGGGGGGCGGGGGGGTTTTCGAGGGCGAGGGGGTATGACGTCACGCGGACGAGGGATCTTATCAGCAGATAAGATAAGGTATATTTCTAAGAAATATAATTATAAATTCTAAGAAGGGCTGCCGCTAAATCCATGCTTGACATGCGCCGACAATCAAGAGGGTTGATACCATGATCTATACGTTATCTGTATATTTCTAAGAAATATCAGCAGGTAAAGTTTCGGAGCGAACAAGTTGCTGCCTGCAACCTCGCAGCTTGCGGCCTCGCTGCCAAGATTACAAGGTGAGTACAGTCCGTATGTTTGTTTTATATCTTATTCCAATTTATTTTTATTTATCACAGGTTTTAGAAAAGAAACGTGGCCACGAAATAATTATATTCATAATATATCACAGCGTAGCCAGGAGACATGGTCTATATTGCAATCTGATAAATGTATGAATGTGCGAGGTCTCTCATTACTGTTTATTTTGGAAACCTAACTAGTAAGTACACAGTTTGAAAATTTGTGTTCTTTTTTTGTTAAAAACGGCCCTTGTTAAAATTTTTTATATTTAACTTTATATACTTAATATTTATTTAATATTTATTGTGTAAATATTTACACATGTCATGTGTGTTAATTTAATATATTGCTGCTGTGATATTAAGTGTACTCACATATTAAATTATTAAAACAACGGAAAAGAAGTGTAAAAATAACATAATAAGCATCTATTTTTTGTTAAATTAACTCAATTAACTTAAAAATTTCTGCAGACTGTTTATGAGACACGTGATAATTGTTAAATTTAACACAAATTTTTCAATTATGTATATAATAATAATTGGAATTATCTGAACTTTTCGGCATTTTATTCTTATACAAACACATATACATATATATAATTTTATATTGTTCACAGTTCCACGAAGAGTTTGGAAAATGCAAGATGTTTTAATATAATTTCAGAACAATTCCCAAATTGTCTCCTCGATCAACTGAAGATGCTTGAAACAATGTATTTTAAGAGAAATGTTAATATTCCAATAACAAAACAACCTAACAAAGTTGGTAATTATTTATATATGGTCTCATCTATATATTAATTTTAACTAATTAATATACTTCTACCTTAACAAAGATATAAATTAATGAAATATACTTTATATTTTACTAGCAGATTAAATTACATATTATCTCTTATTTTTCATTTACTTTCAGAACTCTGTTCATTTAGTCCTTGCTCATGTTTAATTGTTTTTTTTCAGATTTTATTTGGAATAATGGAACTATTTGCGTTTTTGACTAATGTACGTTTCGGAGTTAATCCTCATGAACATGGCATGCACGTGGTAAATCTCGGAAGGTATGCTAGTACTGTTAATAATTAAATAATAAAATAAAAATATAAAAATATCTTTATGAAATTTATCTCCGATATTATTTACAATTATAAATTTTATAATAATCTATAATAAATAAGCTGTTATCTCTTATTTTAATCAGCTGTAATTCAACGTGCTACAAAAGTTTAATATTTTAGGACTTGCTTTGCAAGATGAAATAACAATTCAAATATAATCTTGCACTTTCCAGCTCAGCCTTAATTTTAAAAGTACAAAGCAGTTAAATAGACCAGAGGAAATAAGATTTGCGGTTGGAATGATAGTTACACATACCAATAGTGATCAATTTACAGATAGTTGTACCGGCGTGATAATCGGATGGCATCGATATAAAGATAGACACGTTACATATTTGTCCGCAAGCGATGTAATAAATATGGATATATGTGTATTGCCGTTGAACCACTGTTGTAATTGTCATGCTATAAAACAAGAAACTAATTATTATATAATTCTTACCCAAAATAATAAAATGTGTTGCGTGGAGGAAGGTATGAATATCATTAGACGAGTCTTTTTATAATTATTATATAAAATAATATTTTATTTTGATTTTGATTTTTTTTTAATATAGTTATTTTATTTATTTTATTGATCGAGATAAAGGTGTATATTGTGTTTTTATTTTATTTATTTTATTTATTTTATTTATCTTATTTATTTTATTTAATTATTTAATTTTATTTATATAATTTATTTTTATATTTATTTTGTTTTTATTTTATTTTATTTATCTTAATTGATATATTTCTTATTTATATATTATATGATATATTTGATATATTTCTTATTTCATTTATTTATTTGGTTTAAATTCGTAATTATAATCTTTTTTTTTGTATTTACATTTTTTATTTTAGATCATATAACTTTAACAACGCCGCAATGGATCAATAATAGCGAAATTGGTCGCTATTTTTCTAAATTCGAAGGCACGCATTACGTGGCAAATAAAATGCTAAAAGACTTTATCCGTATGATGCCGCTATAATTGCTCGAAATATTAGAGAATAGATTAGAGAAAGAAATTTCAAAAAAGAATATGTGAAAATTAGTAGTATAAATTAATAGTTTAAGTAGTCATAAATTAATAAATCACATAAATTTATACAATATTTAGAATGTACAAATGTTTTTAAAAACTTTTATATATAATTATTATATTAATTATATTAGACAACACACACACACATACGCTATTTAAAATGAAAAGATAACAAGGGAAGCCGGAAATACTGATTTTAATGAACTATTTGTATATTATTATCTGAATCAAAATTAGAGTCATATATTTTTTTCATTTTATTAATGATTTCTGTTGAAAAGAAAAAATCTAAGATGTTTGAGATTAATCCAAAGGAATTATAATTTTAATTATAATTAGTGTACTAAACCATAAAGTATATGCCAGAGAACTATATGTATAGATTGTATATTAATAAATAACAATAATAAAGAAGAATCTCTAGAGGGTTTTCTTTCTGATAACACATACAATTCTATATAAATTATAATTACCAATAATAATTTAACCAGCTCTAATTAGTTTGATATAAAATTTCAAAAGTTAATAATGTATTTAAAAATAAATTAACAAGACATAGCAATTAAAATCTGGTATTATTCTTACACTTTCCAGTTCATTTTTCGTTGTATAAAAACAGAGCACTTAAATACAAGATCAGAGAATATAAAATATGCAGTAAGAAGAAGGGTTACATATAATGTCAAACTTACAGATAGTTTAGTATAAATACAACAATGATAATCAGATATTATCAACATGTATAGTATATTGCGTTCATTATATCAAACCCTTATGTTCTACATCTGTTAAACTTTGTAGTGAAATGTGAATTTAATTACTATATATTAATTATTAGTAATTTCTTAATTCAACGCATATATTACATAATTCTTGAAAATAATAAAATATGTTACTTGGAAGAAAGTAACAAATGATATATTGCTATTTTGTGCTTCTATTTGCCTTCGTATATTTTAAGAAAATGCACATCAGTATAGGTAAAAAGGTAAAATATTCGTTAATTTCGAACTTCTTTCCTGCGTACGCACGATGTGACGGTTAACAAAAGGATATATTTCCTTCTTTTTCTAGACAAGGAGAAAGTTTCATTTTTCAGTTCTTCAGAATAAAAATAGACGTGGTGTAGACAGTATAGTGTTCATGAAACACGTGTTTGTGTTCTCTGCAATCGCGGTAAAACAACAGATAGAGATATGTTATTGATGTGCTTCTAAAAACAGAGAGTTAATGAAGGATTTTTATCTTAGGGCGAGGTTGCGTGGAGGAAATCACGAAAAACTTTTGTTTCAGTGAACAAACAAATATATGTATTCAGCTAACAGTGTACAGCGTTTCTGCGCTCTCTTCTCGATTTGACCAACACTTCCGCTGAGACTATCTTTTCTTTAAGAAACGTTCGCCAGGACCATTGCCACGAGACTGATTCGCACGTACGATCGCCGCTTCCGCGTTGCTGGATAACGCGCGCGCTCTCAGTCCTCGAAAATCGCGAGCGCTTTCTCCTTCTGATCGGGCGTTTCGCGCCAAGTTCGAATCGGGATTATTTCGTTTCCAACAGTTAATTACGCGAATAATTTATTTTCTTTTACTTTAATAATTTTCTTGAATAATTTTTATAATGCGGCTACATTAACGCGCTTATCCAACGAGGTTATCGCCATCATTCTTGTGTTTTATTGAAATTTTTTCATAATGACTACGATAACGTGCTTATCTAACGAGGTGATACGGATTATTCTTACGTTCAAAGATATCACTATTGAAGATACTATTAATTTTAGATGTGCCTGTAAGCAATTTCGGTATGCAGCTCAAACTAAGAAGTTTCGAGAACAAAAGTTTTATCAGAGGTATTTTTTTTATCTGTAAATTTTTTGTCATTTTATTTCATTAACAGCAGGGAGTATTACTTGTAAAAAAAATATATTTTAGAAAAATAAAATTAATATATGTAGAATATTAAAAATAAAATGTAATAAAATAAACATATAAAACTTTCAATAATTAATATTAAAACACGTAGGAAAACAGGCTAATAATGAAAGACAAGATGTAGAAAGCAGTGCGAACAATGATCTTTAAATAATTTTCTTCATTATTTAATTTATTCCGTTTAAAACTAAAACTAGATTTTAATAAAATATATTTTTTAAGAGTTATTTTTTGTAATAACTATTTTTTCTACATCTTTGCTTTCAATTTATTTTCCTATTTATTTTGATAATATGTATAATAAAATAAAATATATTAAAAATTAGAAATTCTGCACTTTTATTTTATTAATTAAATTATATAATTTTATTATTTTTATTAGATTAATTTAGTTATTAAATAATATTATTAATTAATTAGATAAATTATATCTTATAAATATTTCATATAATAAAAATTAAATAATTTTTTATATAGTTATATAATAAGAATGTAACGTAAGTATGAGTTTGCCTATTTGCATTTATTATATTGTATATTGTAATGTAAAATTTATTTAATTAATTTAATTATAATTTAAAATTAATTATATTATATATTTTTCGTATTAAAATAGAAATAATTGTTATTGTGATTTATGCTTTAAATATACATATATTTAAAAAAATTATTGCTTTGAAAATTCATTATACTGGTGCAATAACATTGTTTAATATAATTTTCAAAAATTTATTAAAATAGGAGTTGTGGAAATAATCGACCAAACTAGCAAGTAATAATTGTTTATTAAATTTCACGAAGGTAAAGATGTGCTATCTAGTAATTGTGCGAAAACTAATGTCGTTTATAAAATTGACTGCAATGATTGTACCGCATCATATATAGAATAAACGAAGAGACATCTTCCCAGCAAACACCAAGTAACAATTATATAACTGTTAGTTATAATTTCCCACTCAACAATATAAATGCAATATAACACACGTGTTATATATATATATATATATCCTACAAAAAAGACATCACAAATGTAAAAAAGCGCTGAATTATATCTTTCGTCAGCAAAAATTGTTCTTTACAAAAAGTCGTAATCAGAAATATTATCTTCTCAAAAATTATGGTTATAGCCAAAATAATTCTTTGCAAAAATTAATCACCATCAAAATATTTTCTCAAAAATTATATTTATAATTTATAAATATATCAAAAAAGACTACAATTTTTAAAAAATAAGAACACCAATAATAATAGCAGGAAAAACAGTAATATTAATAACTTAAATGATCGTACATATATTGTGTTACCATACATGGGAAATTTCAGCGACAACATCTCTAAATTGCTTAGAAAAAAAGGACTAAGAGTGGTATATAAATTACAGAAAAAACTAAGTAGCCTTATCAAAAGAGATAAGGATACCACTCTTAAATTAATTAAAACAAATGTCGTTTATAGATTGGAATGCATTGATTGCAATGTTTCTTATATATATATATAATACAAATTATGATAATTAACTTTTAACAATAATTGACTATATATTATACAGGGTGTTTCATTTTAATTAACGCATTGAAATAGTGGAGAAAGGCACGTGGAATTGAAAAAAGTCTCAGACAAAAGTTATAGGGCTCGGATGGAGGAAAGATAGCTATACCAGATTTTACATTCAAGGTGATTCGAAGGTCACAGGAATGCCATATAGAAAATTCTTCTAGATGAGATCATGGCATTTTCAAAACATTAATTATCAAACTTGATAAAATTAGAACATTCCAAGATATGGCATATCGAAACAGTGCTCACAAATCGTCAATTGCGCGGTATTGTGGATATTGACCCCAAGTTGTACTAACAATAATAGAATGTATGGCATGTTCGAGGCTTCTTAGCTTGCACGCGCGCGCTCGTGTGTGTACGATATGTATGTATATTATATATATATATATATATATATATATATATATGTATATATTTGTATATTATATATGTACATATTAATTATCATAATTCATTAGTATCATTTATTAACTTTTATGGAAATAACGTTTAGAACATACGCATAAATCATCGAAAAAACCATTCTTCGAACTGCTTAGCAAACATGTTTTTAATTATAGTAGAGAATATATATTTCACTAAATTAAATTGAGTTAATTAAAATGAATTAATTAAATAAAATAGAGTTAACTGAATAAATATTTTAGAAGTTATTGCTAGCACTCATATTTTGTCTACTTTTAATTTGTTTTTTATCTGTTTTTATTGTTTTTATATTGATTATAAGAGTATTTTGTGTTTTATTATATTACATTTTTAATATTTAAAAAATTTATTTTTATTAAATAAAATTTTTGCAGAATTGATATTGTTTGATGGAATAATGTAATAAAAATACAAAAAAATTTACCAAAAAAAGAAAATTATTTCTGAAGAAATTTTTTGTCTCGAAACTTTTTATAGTTAGCTGTAAATTGGAAATTCTTGCACGTACATTTAAAGTTAATGATATTTTTAATAGTGATATCTTTGTAGCTAAGAATGATGGCTATTATTTCGTCAGGTAAGCACGTGATTTTAGCCATTAAAAACAAAGAATTTAATAATACACAAGAAAATAATATAAATTAAAACTATCACAATAAACTATATAAATGTAATTAATTCTCTGTGTAATTAATTCGCTGCTTTTAAAACTAATCTACTGCTTGTAAGTATTCGCCGACTGAAGAGAGCATAAGTCCGAGTTTTATGGACACTATAAATGCTTGTTTGCACACTCTGTCCATTTTTGTATTGTGCTTGTAAAATGCTTACCTGAATATCTGAAGGTCTGGTGTGCTTCTTCCCACCACAAGATTGTCACGTGACGTGTTATATGCGTTCAAAAGAAAAATTGAGAAGAATCTATAGAAATTGAGAACAATAGTAAGTACTACGGTCTCAGATTCTAAAATAAAAAGATATTCTAACAAATATTTAACGAATATAATAGAATATGTAGGTATATATGCAAATCTATAAAAGGATTTATTTTTGCAATTACATCAAGAGACACGGTAATTTCTTGTGCTAAAATATTTTAAAATGATAAAATAGTTTTAAATAACCAG